TAAATCGGCCGTTAAAGTTTTTCGCTTAAACGTAAATGCGAACAACCTTTTTATTAAAACTCGCTACGCAAATGCTTTTCGAGTTAATAATACTTCTTTTTTTTTTCGAGCTCGTATCGCCGCTGCTTTTTTTGCCGCTACTAATGCTAAAAGTCTTTTAGCTAGCTTAAGTCTCGTCTCGGCATTACGCTTATTTGCCGCCGTTATTACCGCCGATTTAGCTTCGCTAGATTTGCTGCTTTAAGTCTTAGCCGTTATAAATCGAAATAATACTTTATTAAATAACTTTTTTAATCGCGTAAGTATATATTAAAAGTCTTTTATAATTTTTTTTCGATTTTATTATAATAAGTTTCTAATAAAGCTTCGTCTCGTTTATCTTCGTTATCGCTTTTTGCTTTTCTTACGAAAAGACTTCGCCGAAATGCTCGCTAAGCTTTTAATCTCGGCAATACTCGTAGTTCTTCGAAAAGCTTAAGCCGTAGCAACACCGGTAGTTTTTCGAAAAGTTCGAGCCGTAATAATATCGGTAAGTCTTCGAAAAATAAAAGCAATGCTTAAAGTATTACGAAAAGCTTTCGCATTATTTTATTTAGCCTTGAATTGTAAAGTCGAAGAAGTTTTTATCGCGTATCGATAACTTATTAAATAATTAATATAATAGATTTTTCGTATGTTTTTTTTAATTAGCTTCCGAGTAAAGTCCGCTTTATATATGTAATATTATCGTATATAATAGATCGAAAGCATATAAGTATAATAACGTAAAGCTTTTTAATACAAAAAAAGAAAAAAAAAAAGAAAAAAAAAAAGAAATAAAAAAAAGATAAAAAAAAGAAAAAAAAAGAAAAATTAACTTAAATAAAGAAAATTCAAATTCAAATTCGTCTTTTTTTTACGTATAATTATACTTTTATAACTGAATCACTTTTTATTACTTTTTTATTATTGCTTATCGAGACTTTTGCGTATTAACTTCGTTGCTTTTCCGTAAAGCCGAGTAATCGAATAATAAATTTATTTAAGCGCTTGATTTAAAAGCCGGACTCGAGCACTTCTTTTAATAAAAGCTATTTTAAAGATCTTTTTATTTAAAGCTTAAAGCGAAGTAATAACGCTTCGAAAGTATATGGCACGTAAAACTTTTTTAATCCATTGCCGGTAAATGTTTTATTTAGCAAAGCTTCGTTTTCTTTGAGCTTTTTTAACTTATAATATCTTTTTATATTTACCGACGAAATTTAATAAAAGTTGAGCTATCGAAAATCTAACTTCTTAACGTTAAACATATTTATTTTACGTACCGAGTCGTGCTTAAAAACTAAGTTACTTACTTTTAAAAGCTTGATTCGAAAGTTCTTTTTATTATCAAAAGCATTTTTTCCTTTTTAATAGCAGCGGGTTTTCTTAAGTATAGCTTTCGTAGCATCTTCGTTTCGTATTCGAAACTAACGTGCTTTTAACTCGATAAGCTTAATACGATCGATTATCGGCTTTTAAAATAACGTAGCTTAAAATTAAATTCGAAACTTTATCGAAAGCATCACTTTTTTGTTATATATTATATAAAAAAAAGTAAATCCGATAAGAGTATACATTGTTGTTATTGTTGTTGTTGTTGTATTTATTTACGTCGGGCGGGTAGCAAGCGAAGCCTGCCGTCTTAAGACCTCTTATAAGGTACGGCGACGTGCTAAGCTAAAGAGTTATATACAAAAAGGCTTTAGAAAGCAATTTAAAATGCTATAGCGAAGGCTACTATCGCATACGCCTTTCTTTTATAAATAAGATAGATCATATAAAAAGAAACCTTTTATTAAAGGAAAACTATAAAAGAAAGAGTTAAACAAGTACAAACTGTTATAGCTAATTAAAAGCGAGCTGTTTACGTCGCGTAGCGACAAGAATCAAGGCTAGACCGAAGTTAGCCGAGTATAAAAAAAAAGAAAAAGTAAATACAAAAGCTTAAACTTTAAAAGAAAACTTAATATAATACACTAGTATTAAAAAGAATTTTTTCGAATGCGCATTACGCTATTTTAAAGTCTTAGTCTCGTGACGCGGTTAATTTAACGAGCTTTTATAGCTTAAGTAAAGCGGAGCGTACTTTGTTCTTTTTACCGAAGTAATATTAATTAGCTAAAGTAGCACTTTTATCGAATGTAATACTTAAAGTAGAACTCCGTGATAATCAAGAAAGCTTGAAAATCGGCCGGATTATTAAAAAGACTTTTAAAAAAGCCGTAAGCTTTCGAGATCGTGCTTAAAAAAGTTCGCGGTCGAGTCTTATAAAGCTAAGAGAAAAAGCGTCGCTACGTGAATCGGCAAAAGGCTAAGTGCAAAAAAGACTTGCGTTTGCCGCAAGCATATTTTAAGTTAGCGTCGTAATATTAAAACTTAGTATAATATTAAATAAAGTCTTCGTACGTAATTCGGATCGCAAGTAGTTTATATAAAACATATCGTAAGAGTTCTAGCTTTAAGAAAAGCTTAATTAAATATAAAAAGCTTTATTTTTAATACGAGCGTAAGAGTTTAAAAAAGCTTGCGCATTATTAAGCTTTTCGTGCTTTATTTCGTATATCGTAAAAGAGTATACGGATGCTATTAATCTTAAGTTGCGATATTAAACTAATATCTTAATCCGATTTCTTCGCTTTTAAGTCTGCAAGCTTATCTGCTCGTTCGTTTCTTTTAATGCTTATATGCTTCGAAGATTATTATATTCGCACGTTTCGAGTCTTTATTACTTTTTAAACGTTTAAGAACGCTTATTACGATAATAAAAAAGCATTTTCGCGAAAACACTAAATAATTAATATGCTATCGATGCAAAGCTAGATCCGTTTCGCCGTTAAATAAGCGTATATTACTCGTTCGAAGCCTTTTTATACTTTTATCGCTTTCGTATTAAAGACGTAAAAGCAATCGTTAATAAAGCCGTACTCGTAGCTTATCTTTTGTCTTTTTTAATAGACTACGTACTCGTAGCTTATTAATCGGTTGCTTTAATCGTATTATTTTAACTCGTCCGAAAAGATTATAATATCTTTTAATAAGAGCTGTTGCTATTATGCTTCGAATGCGATAGCAGCTTCTTTTTTTGTTTTGCTATCCGCCGAGTCTCGTTTGCTTTTCGATATAAAGTGCGAAAAGACGAAGCGAAAGCGAAAAACGTTTAAAAAAAGAGTTTTTAATTTTTAGATTTTAGTTTTAAAGATTTTAATAGTTTTCGCGCCGCGATTGCGTTATCGGATCCGCAAAAGTATCCGATTAACTAGTAAGTGCTTATCGTTTACCGTTTTTAATCTTATTGCAAACTTAGCTTTAGCTTCTTTTAAAGCCGTAACGTTAAAAAGAAGCTCGGCATTTCGAAAAAGCGTTGCTATTAATATCGTTTTTTAAACCGAAAATACTTTGCGCGCCGCGAAGATTATCGTCTTATTAATAAAGTCAATTATCTTTCCGACTCGAGCGCTAATAACTTTTAGTCTTCCGGACTTATAAATTAAGCGATAACGCTTTGCGTATTACGCTTTTGTGCTATAAAGCATTAAGAGCAGCACGCAAATAATAACTGCTTTGCGAAGTAAAGCCGTAAATAAATTATAAACTATTTTAACGAGATTACGGATATATTAAGCGACTTTTTTAACTTTAACCGTTTGTTTTCGAACGTATCGGCGGAACTTTAACTTGCGGTTAAACTAGACTTTAAGCTATTGTATCGCAAATGTATTTTCGTCTTTCGGACTTGTAATAATACACGGAATAATTATAATATCGATTACGAAAAGAAAAGCATACGTACTTTTCTTACGAAAGAAGTGTATTATCTCGATCTTTTTTAAAGCGAAAGCGATTTTATAAATATTACTTTACTTAATAATAAAGTTGATATTATTTTAAAGCATAATAATGTTCCGGTCGAAAGTGCGATTAACGCGATATAAGCAAATATCGTTAGCGTATTTAAAACGCAATATCCGATCTTAATTAAATAGCTCAATTAAATAAAGTATATAAAGCATCGGTAATAGCGGAGATCTTTACGAAGTACTGCATTTTATATCGTAAGTATCTATGATTTTTTTTTTAATCGGACTTTAACTTTACGATTTAAAAAAAAAGATTTTATTAGCTTAAGCAATAAGTACGACTAGCTTTGCTTCGTTATACGTTTAAAAAAGCGATAAGTTAAGACCGTATCGAAAGCTTTTTAAACGTTTATAATAATTATAATAACTTAATATCTAATTATAAGTGCGGACTCGATATCGTATATTAAGCACGAAGCGAAGTTTAATACAAAGCGCCGTAAGAAAGCTTTCGCGTATTATAAGCTAAAAACGTCGTTAATAAAAGCAGTTTATATAATTCTTTTCGTAATAATACGCTTTAATCTTTTAAAAATGCACGAAAGTAAAGCAATCGATTATTAAAAGTAAATAAAAGTCTTGTTTCGTTTTTTTATTTTAAAAATCATCGAGACTTCGACGAGCTTTTACGTATCTAAAAAATAATAAAAAGCTAAGCACTTATTAAAAAAGCTATAAAAAAAGTGATAGACGTAATACTAATATGCTTTAAGCAATTGTACGATAATCTTATCCGTTTCGAATAAAGTGCTTATCACTTCGATTACGTAAAACTTTATTTTTTTTAATAATATTATAATATTTTAAAAAAGCCGGCTAATGCTTTCTTAGCTAGCGAGTAGATCGTAGTCGAAATCGTCGGCGGCGCTAAACCGTTTAAAGATGCTTTTGTGACAGCCTGCCTCGTTACCTGCATCAGCTGATCACCCATTCAGGCCTAGCGCCTGTGGCCTTGTATATAGACCTTCCTGAGCTCTCCTGAGCTTCCTGTTTTCC